ACGTATTGCAAAAAAAATTCAGGACTTTAAGACAATTACCCTAAAAGTAGATCAAAACCGCCGAAGTGGGTCCGGACCGACGGACGGAGGCAAACAATAGCACCCAAGTCTTAAAAAACCGCTAAAAATAGAAAATGATAGGAAGCGGCGCCATCTTGAAATGATTTTATGTTCGACTCGATCATAATACGCTGAGTTATGACACTGTTTAGCGTCCATAATCTGCTACTTTATTGGACTAGTCCATAATGATAAAGTAATTTGGACTCCTGTCACTGTCAATTTCTTTGGAAAATGCATTTTAAAATTACGGTCTGTTTTAAAGAAGAAGTACACGGAACAGAATGTTATAACTTTAAGAACACATATCTATATTATACATTTCAATAATTGGTGCAATTGATTTTCTTCCCCAAGCACCACCTTCTGTATTCCCTGTATGCCGCCTCGTATACAGTTTTTGATTTGCTTGGTAAAAGCATCTCTCTGGCATTGCAGGCTAATAATTGTTGTATACTGTTGGACCCATCAATTTCTTCTGGATTCATAATTAGGGCACAGAGAATTAGTTAATACCCAACAAAATTGACACTACACATCAACAGATTTTTTTCCAAACAACACGTATCTATGACAACACAAAAGGCACACTATGTTATTTCTGGTTATTAAATAGTGAAATCTATACCAAGTTTCAGCAAATTTTCAATACATACATGAACTACATTTTCCGAGTCGAACATAAAGCTAAGTATGTTACTCGTACATAATCAGACTTTATTATCTCGTCTTTTTTATTGGCCTCGCGCGCAAGCGCGCTCTGCCAATAAATTCGACTCGTCCAATAAAGTCATAGATTATGTACTTGTAACATAAATAGCTATTATTTCAATTCGCAATGATCGATTATCGCTGTAAACCAAATTTCAAGAAGTTAAAAAACTTATAATAAACGTGAATCTCATTGTATATTAATTCGATGTTTTATTCAGTGCTCGACTGAAAGTGGGGCTTGGAAGTTACTGAAATCCACTGTATCACGTCCAATAAACCAATACTTGGTTTACGAGAACGTCTGTAATGTTAATAAAACTTTTGTCCCTTATTTATGGGGACGAAAATAGGTAGCGTTCTTTCCTGAACTATAAAGAAGTCGCAGTCCAAATTTGGAACAAGTGGCCGCTGTTAAAAAGAGTATTGCTCACACGGACGGATGGTCGGAATTTAATAAAACTATAAAAAAGGCTCTGGAGCTCTTCAGTGGCGGATTTACAAATTTGTCGCCAATAGGCTATTCCATTATTGCCGCTCCTACATGACACTAAAATTTATTTTAATTTAATTTTTACAACCCACAGCAAAATTACACGAGCAACAGTTTTTGGGTAACTTCTGAGCTGAAAAATTTCAGCCATGTACCTACTAGTTATACGGTGGAGATATGCCTTAAAAATTCTTACACCAATATGAACACAGCCTTACACAAAATTACTAGGTAAATTTAAATTGTAGATAATATTGGAACGCTAGGTATTATTGTTTTTCAGCTAAGTAGACTAACGGGGCAAAAAATTACAGCCCAAAAACTGCTCAAACCTCCAAAAAAGGGCTTCTTTTATAATTCTTGTTACAAAGAACCTGTGAATGCCCGGTTTTCTGTGTGAGTAAATGTCCCTTAAGCCCCAGGTTACTATGCAGACGAATAAAAAAAAATTGCGCATGCGCAACCCAACTTTTCTATTTGCGCAATCCCAATTTTCTTTATTTGTTAAGATATTTCATTGAAATTTAATATGTAGGCACCTCGAATAAAAGTAAAACTAACTCCGTTTCAAACAATTTGTTTTACAAGATATTCCGTCCTGGTGGGACAGAATCAACCCCTTAAGGCGCGTTGTAAAAATAATGGATGCGATCTCGAGGATCGTTCGGTATTCAGTTGTATGGGATTTTTTTTATCAAAAATTCGTTATTCGTTATTCAATTCAAAATGATATCAGTTTATGACAACTGTCAATAATTTTTTTTGTAAAATTTATTCACTGAGGAAACAGTATACTTATTTATAATAACCGACGGCGGAAATAGTTACTGTACGCGATATTTGTTTTCCATGCATTTTAATGAGCGTCCCACTCCGTCTGTGTCAATTCTTTAGAAAGTTTTCATGGCTTAACATGATTTTGGTAATTGGAGTTATTGCCGAATTTTGGAGAAAATAATGAAAACTAAAAACATTAGTTATTTTAAATTTCCTATCAAAAGCAAACCTCGAATGACGGCAAGGAAAATAAATTGTGGAAATTCGATTATTGCCGGGCTAGACGATGAAGAATTAAAATATAAAATCGTTTGTGAAAATCACTTTAATTCATCTGATATTTACAAAAGCGGCAATCGAAAGTTATTGAGAATCAATTCAGTTCCTTTGCCTTACTCAAAAACAGGTAACCATGTTATTTTTTTGTCGTTAAAATGACATACATTTTTTCAAAATTTAAATTACAAAGAAGATGACCCTTCTACCTCATACTGCAATCAAACATTCAAAGAAACGAAAAGTATTCCACCCCATTCAGACATTTTTTACGAAAACTCCAATTCAACCACAAATTTGACTTTATGTACAGAAATTAAATAGAAATTAAAAATGCTATACGAAAAACGTTCAAATTCATAGACTGAAAACTAAAACATCTCGCTTCTCAACAGGTTAGTCAGTTAAATTTTTTGCATAGTTATCAAATTACCCCAAACACCCAATGGTGCAAAATAGGTTTTGTACTTATTATATATTTAAAATACTTGATCTATAATTAAATAAACTGTCACTAGGTATAAAACTACTTATAAACCGAATTGAAGATAAAACAGGGCATGTGATTTTGCTGTGGTGAATTTCTTTCAAATGAAGAACTGTGAAAAGTAAATGTGGACTACAGTGAGTGATCATGTAGAGTATATACATTTGTTCGGTAATGAATCTAGTTTAAAAAACCCCTAGATCTTCGAGGGTTTATACGATGAACAATGTCGCCTTATCTCAAACTTTCTCATATAACCTCCCCGGTCGACGTTATTACGAAATTTATAGTTAGAGAGAGCACCGGCGTCTTATAGATAGACGATTTCGCTTCATTTAACAGGATTCGCTTCAACCGAATTTCGCAGAGCAATTTGATAATATTCTTTATTCTATAAAAATGGAATACACAGATATAGAAAACTCCTCCGAGAGGAAGAAAATAAAAAGTTCTGACATAAATGGCTCGCGAGAGTGGCCGTCGTGGGAGTATGGAGCGATAAATTACTTTGTTAATTCGTATAACAATTTTTCATCTTCCCTGAAGGGGTTTTCCTTGTTATAACATTATTTATTGTGATATGATTAAACTCTTTAAAGTTTTTCTTCTTGAGGTTTTGTATGGAGGTTCTGAATCCACACTGACAAGGGTCAAGTGGAGTAAATGCACCGTTGCTTATGTGTTCTCTAAGATAGTGTATTTACAAATTTTGTTCATAAAAACAGACGAAGTGGCCAAGTTGGCAACACGTTCTTTCGGTCCTTGCATATTCCATTGTATTTGCAAGTACCCATCATTTACAATTTAGTAGAGATTTTACTCTTAAATATTGAAGCGTTGCTCCGTGAACCGCATACATACATCTCACAAGTAAAATGAATAAGTTAAGTTGTTGCGGGTATGTACCATCTTCCAAAGTCGCACTTTAAGGCAATGAAATGTGGGACTAAAACATTAGGGTTTGGAACGGTCCGCCGTAGGCAATATACACTCATTTAAAATGTCCAGAACGTTTATTTTACGAATTAAGAGGTACTTTTACGGGATTGCTTGGTATGGATTATTCCACAATCGTACATTATTGTAATTAATTATTGTCACTTTGAAGATAAGTTTGATTTTCGTGCATTACATCACGAGTTATAGTCTTATAGTTCTTTATCTTACGAATGTTTAGATAGTACATGTTCGTTTAAAGGAACCATCACGTTTTCATTATACTGATCGTTCTTAAATTAAGTATACCTTGTACCGTTCCGTTGAATATATTCTGGTTTGTGTATACTCCGCTCAATAGTTATTGTCCCAGTGGTAGGCCATGTTAGGGTGATGAAATTCACTGTGTATATGTGCTGTCACTCATTAGGTTATGTCCATTTTATACAAAATGATAATTTCCTGTCAATGTGCAAAACCTAGTTGCCAGATTTAGTTTTGGATTTCGAGGTAATTTTGTTATAGGTTAATACGTGTAAATTTCATGAGAAACAACTTGCTCAATACGTTTCATACTTTAGTGAGTAGGCAAATGGCTCTAATGAACATTATTAATTTCAAAAGGCTGTGTATGAACTTATTTACAGTTATACGCTTAGTAATAGCAGGTTGCTGGTGGTGGTCTTTATGAACTAAACACTTCTAAATGGCGATATGCTGGTCTAAACTTCGAGTAGCTTTAGTCTGGGGCTGGATCAGCTTTGGGAGATGTGTGGTGTAGATTCTCAGAAGACAACCACTGCTCGATAAGTCAGTACCATCATACCCGAGATGCCCTCAACGACCGCATTGATACCTAACTGCGCTTGAGTGTAGTTCTTGCTTCCACGGTGCCATTGGAATGTTCTTCCTTGGGTCTTTTGTTTTCCGTCTGTGCTGTTTGATGATTAGTAGATTTCTGTTAATCTTATTTCCGGCGGGTAGCTTACTATTCTTTGGGGAACCTTTTAGTCTTAGAGCAGCTGCCTGATGGTGTCTTGCTCTCGCATTTCTTCTCCTTGGTGTTAACTGGTGTTTCCCCAGCTAAGTTCGTGGTGAGGATTGTGATTCCTTTCCATGTCCCAGCTTGTTATGTGGTGACCTCTAGTTCTTTCTGGATGAAATCCTTGAATCTTTCCTTAAATTCTGGAACTTTGAAGAGTTTGGTGGTCCCATTCATTTTCCATGTCATAAACAAAAATTTTGATACCAAAAAACCCTCTATTCCACGACCATTGTTTCATTGGAAGTATCTGAATCATTATCAATACCTGATTCTGACTGAGACTCCTCCAATGAAATAATGAAAGGTGGAATGTTTTCAAACGAAATATTTCCGATATATTTCACCCAGTCTTCCGAAATTAGTTTTTCACAATGATTACAAAAATTTTGCCACATGTCAGAAGTACAATTTGAAAGAGCTTCAAGCCATACATTTTTAATCTTATCATTGGATAAAAGTTGAGAATTTATACGCTTGTTGTAGTAAGTTTTACAGAACCCCCATGCCATTTCAATAGGATTGTACTGGCAATGGTACAGATGCAATCTAAGAACTTCGTGCCCATTCTCTTTAAAAAATTCGTCAGTCACGTAGCGTTTGTTATTGTCTTTCTTAAAAGGTTCAATTAAACTCCAAAGATAATTTTTGGTAATTTTGCCCTCAATTTTGACATTGTGTTTAATCAACCAATCCTGCCTCTGATCCTTTTTCCAATTACGTGAGGGTAATTTTTCCAACTGCGAATGATAACGGTGCATTGTCCAAGATCACCACACGTTTACCTTGAATTTTGTTCAGAGCAGGAAGTAATTGATTAACCACACAATTTTGAAAAATTCTCCCCGTTCATAGTTTTGTGATATCTAATCCCTATTGTTACTATTTGAAGTTTGTAATAGATTACACCCTTCCAAAAATCCAAAACGAGACCCCGCATGCAAAACGGTAAAACGCTTCCCTTCTGATTTATTTTCAGACGGATTACTTTTAATTTCAGAATCGTGTACCCATTTTCGGACGCTGGATCCATTTTGAAAAATCCAAGTTTCGTCCATATACACGAATCTTATATTTTCACTTGAATTTTGGTATTGTAAGAATTTCCTCAAAAATGTAATTTTGGATGCAACATGTTTTTGTTAACAGAGGATTTTACGTCCATACGTGTTTGTATTTATAACCCATGAATTTTAGAATGTTATATAAAGTAGTTTTCCCCTTATCAAAATCAAAATTTTCCCGCGCGTCCCTTTAGTAAGTCAGCCAAAGTAAAGTGTTCATTTTTCGAGTGATAATTCCAAATCAGTCGTTGCAAATCTTCCCTAAATGAAAAATTTTTATATATAATATCAGTTTTAGGTCGTTGGCCAAACGGTTTCAATTCAAAAGTATCCAGCCGGATAATTCTTTCAATGGTTTTTTTATGTTACCTAGAATAGTACAAACCCCAAAATTAGACCGAAAGTTAATGTTCAATGCATAAATACTCACATCCCAAATGTCACTAAGCCGGACTAAGATTTCCGCTTTCCTTAGATCTGGCCTGTTTGTTTTGTAATGCCTGTAGGCTTTTAAAATTTGCATTTTCGCATCTGAGTTTATGATTTTCGGTATATTTGCTTATTATAAATCACAATTTACTGATACGTATCCATGAGGGTATGCCATATGTGTTAATTTAGTTACCTATCTTTGTTTTACCGGTCTCGTAATCTGAAACCCATTTATTAATGGGTTTTGGATATATATTTCTTTGTGGGTTACGAGCATTGGCGTGAGTGTTCTGGATGAAATGGAAATACCTACCCACTTTCGAATTGAAAAATGCGAACTGTCGACGATCTGCGCATGCACAACCTATTCATTGACACGTTATTTCAATTTGATTCTATAAGAAGCATTTTTGCGTATCGAATTTATAAGTACTATAAACGGCAAAAGTGTAAAATTACGGTACATGAATTTTTGCTGTAACTTTTTTAGTAATAAACGCAAAAAATTCTTCCGTGGTGCAAGCATCGATACCATACCGAACCAAATAGCGTAAAAAGTAGCATAATAGCTGTTAAAGTAAATATCTAGTAGACGGACGGACAGATGGACGGAAAAAGTGCCAACAATAGCGCATTTTTTGTGGAAATGCGCTAAAAATCGTAACGCTGCTGGATATGCGGAAAATATACGATTAGTGACAAAAATATGGAGGGCAGAAAAGATGTCATAAAGTAGAGAAACTTCTTTCGTAGTACTATGTATGGGATGTAAGAACTACAGAGGCCTTTTGTGCCATGTTTAAAAGTTAGAATTGAAAAAGTGATTGAATCCCATTTAGGCGAATAGCAAGCTCGATTTTAAAAAGAATGATCTAATTTTCTTAACGCAAATGATCTTAATTGGCGTGACCTAACAACCAATAGAAAACCGTCATAAGTGTTTTTCGCTTATTATCGCCAGGCATGTTTTCTTTCACGTTCGCTGTGAAGCGGTATATGTGTAAATTTCCCCGTTGAACAAAATACAAATTCAAAATCAATTTATGAAGTGGCAAAGTGACGACCTGTTACAAATGGTCGTCCACGGAAGATTTGCCTTGGGAATATTCGCCCCCGGAAGGTTTGACTCTGAAACTTTTCGGACACTATCACATTAAATATATCTAGGTCAATTTTCCGTAGGGGAAAGTATCAGGAAGCAAATTCTCGTAGGCGAATGCATGGAGGCTCTTCAACATTTCTTAAGCCTGCCTAGGAGAGATGGAAAACACATCCAGCTATTTGTGCCACCTCCTTTTGGAAGGAGTCCATTGCAGCCGTCTCGAAGAATTCTTGTCGGTGCCGCTTTCGGTATCAAATTTTGCAAAGCCCTAAACAACCTTGTGTATATTTCTCCGAGTAATAATGCTAGAACACAAGGTCACGAAATGCTACCTTCTTGCACGTGGATGCTGTATAGCTGAAATAATAACTTTGGAACTACTTTAAAAGTCCCATCAGAAATCCAACATTCATTCCAACATCTTCAACAGGTCGTTTTTGCGCAATATAGTTATTCTGTCAATGTCTTCTCCACCCCAATCAAACAGAACATATGGTACACACATTTCTGGTTACAAATTGTAACGGTTTCTTTTCTTCACTACAGGCATTTAGTGAAAGATCCTCGTAACTTTTGAATAGATGGCTCCATCCATGCCATTTTAGAGCGCATTTTGCCTCGCAATGGTTATCGATTGTCGACCTTCGTCTTCGTCGGATTCGCCTTTAACTCCTTAGGAGGATAGAACTGCGTTTTTTATTCGTTATCGTAAGTACCTCCATTTGCATTTCATTTACTTTAAGTGTACCTTTTCTTTAGGTTCGGCTGTCATCTGTTATACGACAATTCTTCCATCAACAATTGTTGCTTCATCTGTAATTAGCCCTCTCATTTAAGAGGAATGTACATTTTATAACATCAACGAAGCGTTCTTTTAGAGTTCGAGATATACTCGTATACCTACTATATTCCATAATACATAATTGGCACCCTGTATACACCTGAGAATGGGAAAGGCTCAAATCGTAAAATACATATAAAATTGTAGATGTAATTCAAAGAAAAGATTATACAGAGTTTGGAATTCTTATGTTTGCAAGAACTAAAATATCTTCGTCATTGGAAAAGTAAACAAATCTATAGGAGGCAAAAGAAATCCCGCTTTACTTCAATTTGTGATGTAGGCGTATCGGCTGCCGATGTGTTTTTCTTTGACAGATAACGGCAAGTTCCCTGAGTACACTTGAGCGAAAACAACACAAAGGTAGTTTTCTTTGCCTTTTTAATGGCGTTAGTCTAAAACAATCTCTCGGAAATTTGTCCAAAGTCGCATATCAATCTTGTTTGTGCTTATATCCTTCCATTATTAGGCTACGGAAAAATGTCTACACCCTTAATATATTTTCCCTACAAAAAGCAATAACAATATGGGGTTCGTTCAAAGCGGCATGAAATTAGTTTTCTGATAAAATGTTGTTTGATTTGCTGTTTTAATATTAGAAGTCGTGTATACATAAGATCCACGTTGTCAAGTGAAAAATTAGCTCTTAGAAAAAGTGGTGGAAAGGACATGCTGGAAACCATTTTGTCTATAACTTTAAACATATTTGTGTCAAATGAGGACAGGATCAAACTAGTTGACACATAGGGAAAGTTTAAAATTGAGAATTGCTATAGAGGAATCTAAAACTTCTCGTTTCAAATGTTAAAAACAACACCGGTGAAGTCCACAGACGCATACATACCGGGAAAGCTTAAAAGAGCTTTCTAAGTTTAGGCATCAGCGTAAGATGCGAGGGCCGATGAACGTTTCCATTGTATAACATTGGAAGGTGTAGAAAGAATAATTTAGAAACTTTTAATATACTCGCATCCCATAATAAAGTCGCAAGGAGCCCAAAGTTTAGACAAATTTAAAATAATAAAAAAGCGTAACGTGCGTTGAAACTGAATTGAGTTCGAGTGGAAAATGAGGCCGAAAGTACATGCACACTGCCCGTTTTTACAATGCGGGGCTTTGGGGGATTAAAAGAAGTTGAAAACGAAGCTAAGAAGTTGGGGCATGAAGTTCTGAATGGAATTGTAATGGAAGTTTGTGACGTAGGTAGTTCAAGTTTGCAACTTTTCGCCTTCCTTTGTAAAACAATTTATTTCTCTACGGTTATCCAGTTTGAGCATATTGAATATTATCGACCGCACGTAAATCGTTTTAAGGACAGGATTATTGTAACAGCGCCATTGCGACACGTAAAATTCGAATTTAATTGTTCGAGAAAGTTCGGTGCATAAAATTTTTGTTCCACGGTGAGCATAAAACGTAATAAAGGAAAAAAAATAATTAGAATAAGCAGAAAATTAATCAGATTAATTAAGAGTGTAATAAAAGCAAACCTAAAATCTAATCTAAATTCCAGTAATATCGAAACACAAATAAAAAGATCTGAAGGAAAAAGTTAACATATAATTTTAAACACGAAAGAAAAGTTTCAGGGTATATTTGACTGTTTACGGTAAAGTTAAATTTTTGCTCCAAAATGTACCCACGCTAGCTCATTTTATTAAAATTACTTTGGTAAAATGGTCTTTTTTGTTTTTTATCTGCAAAATTCAAAAACGTATCTTTTCCACCGTCGGTCAGTTTGATAGCAAATACCTAAATACACAAATTGAAAAATATTGAATTATCGAAACGTCCAGTATCGCAAAATTGTCAGTTCTAATTTGGGCAATTGGAACACCCTCGATCTTAGGGTTTGCGGAAGGAGACCAAAAATAGATGTAGCTTATTCCTGACTCGTACCGGAAGGCGGTCGTCTTTGGTTACAATCTCCTACCGACCGAGTTTCTGTTTTCGAAAGGCAATAATTTACACCTCAAAATAATTCCGGTGGGTACTTAATAATGCCTTTGCTTACTTTAGCTTGTGCTGTAGAAACTGAATTTAAATTTGCAACTCCTTGATTAATTCCAAAACTACTTAATATAAGACTCAAATCAACCAATGACACCCTCTCACCCACCCATAAAGTATATCCCTTTACGATCAAATCCACGTTGAATCCAATAAACACGGAATTTGCAGTTTTTTGATATTTTCTATGAAGATCTCCATTTTTCTGGTTCTGCTTTTATGATTAAAGACTGTATAAAAGAACCACGAATATTTTTTATTGTTTTCTAAAGCGATCGATTTCGGGTTTTTTATATACCCATCATCAGGCTATGCTAAAAATTACATGATAGACTACAGAGAATAGATAAGCAGTTTTTTATCTTACCAACCACATAATCCACATTGTATAGCACTTCCGAGGAACTTAAGCTAATCTCGCGCCAAACTGGGGGCTCAATTTGAACACGCCATTACAAAACAAAAGAAAAAATTCCGTGATACTGCCGGATGGCTTCGTCCTTTTGGAAAGTTATTGACTTAAAAGGAAATTTAGAATAACCAATTTTGAAAAACCTACTATCTAATAGAACCACTCTGCCGGATACCTAGCGACCCTAACGAAATCCAATTCCAACCCCTTCAAAATTTCTAAAAAGGTAACCCCATTTTAATGCTCCCGTTACAGTCCTACCTTTCCGAACGGAAACAATGATTGATTAATTCAGGGTTAATCCGCATGGCGTATGGAGTTCCTCAAGGCTAATTTTGAGGCCT